TAAAGCCTTTACATAAGATCCATGTCATTTTGACCCATCATGGGGTGTAAGTTGCCTCAGAGATGGGATTGTAACTTCAAGCTAGATAACTTTCTTTGGCTGAGAGCAGTTCCTAGAGTATGCCTCATCTAAAGCTATCAGCTGCTAACACTTGCAACAACTCTGGAAATGAGTACTGTATAACTAAGGGGATTCTTGGAAGCATACTGTAGCATCTACAGTCAGTGCACAGTTGCTAGGGAACATTGCCTATGGTAGAAAACAACCCCTGATTGATAACCTGCTTCTGAATTAGAGGAAATTATAATGGATTATAGATACCAAAGCTTTGATCTTCCCTGAGGCTAATAACTCTTGTAATTGGGCATGTCCCTTACAGGCAGGGATCCTGGAAGCCTATGCTTGGAAGAGGTTATTAGTTTCTGTGTGATATAAGACTTCTAAGGCAGGATAACTCTTGTATCTGCCTAAGGTGAGTCTGACTCCCTACCAAACTAATATTCCATGGTCCAAAGACAGTAACTCTTGGAAGGCTGTCTGGTCTGCTACAGGAGCTGCTACAAGGCTCCCACTAAAAAGGAATGGCTGGTGCTTCCCTGGGGTCGATAGATGGCAGGTGTGGTTCAGAATAGTCTTGTGTAATTATTTAGTTGTGACCATAGATGGTCCCTCTTAACTGGGTATTGTAGGCATTTTTTTCAGTTGCATCTCAGTTCTTAGAACAGTTGGTTTTAAAATCTAAAGCTAGAGAGTAATATGATAACCTTAAAATCAGGCTGAAAATTTTTAAGCACTTGGGGCACATGGATACTTGAGCTATCTTTTTCTTACTGCTGACAGGCCACTCTTAACAGGTATTCACTCCATAGATGTTGAGGGAAAGACTCAGCTATGATACTAATCTCTGAAAACAGTAGTCTTATTTGTGAATGGTGGAAAGAACTGTTGGTTCTTAGCTCTCCATTACTCACAGATGGGTCCTTTGGGCCTCATTGGCAATTTCCCTCATATCCTATGAGTCACAAAGTTTGGCTGATTCTTCCTTTATAATGACTCATTCTGTCCCTTCTTTTCCATTCACTCTGCTGTCACCCTGAGTAGTATTTATAGTCTTTATCACTTCATTTATGAATTACTGAACTGCTTACTACCTTGGATGTGTTCTCTGTTTTTAAGTTTTGCCTAATCTGAGCTGCACCATGAGATCCCAGACTGAATTTCATGGTAGAGCTTTGTCTAGGATTTTCAGACTAAGCTCTTCTGAGACATACAGTTGAGTTACATCTCAGTAAACCCTACTGTAAGTTGAAAATGTCGTAAATCAAAAATGCATTTAATGCACCTAACCTACGGAACATCATAGCTTAGCCTTGCCCACTTTAAACATGGTCAGGAAACTTACGTTAACTTAGAGTTGGGCAAATCATGTAATACAAAGCTTTTTTATAATTTTATAAATGTATGTATATGTTTTATATTTTATAGTAAAGTGTAATTTTTTGAATACTCTACTGAAAGTGAAAAACAGGAAGGTTGTATAGATACAGAATGGTTGTTGAGTGTATTGGTTATTTACCCTAGTGATTGTGTGGCCAACAGAGCTGTAGCTCACTGCCGCTACCCAGCATCATGACAGAGTATTGTACTACAGATTGCTAGCTGAGAAAAAGATAAAGAGTTCAAAATTTGGAGTATAGTTTCTACTGAATACGTATTTTTTCGTACCATTGTAAAGTCAAAAAAAAAGAAATCATTAAGTCAAACCATTGTAAGTTGGTAACCATCTGTATTAATGTGTAACCCAGATCTTCCTGAAGTATGAATAAGGTTCCTGGAAATAGTGAGAAGGAAGGCTTGAAAGGTAGATTTAGAGAAGGTGTTGGCTAAGAGTTCCAGTTATTTTGTACACATTGGGGACCAGTTCAGTAAATGGCTTTTAGGGCTGGAGAGTGGTTGATCGGGGCCAGGCTTCCAAAAGATAGATCTGGCAACACAGTAAAGGGAAAAATCTACTAGAAATGAGAGTAGTTAGACATCTTGTAGGAGGACCCAAAGTGATCTGGGAATGGAAAGGACGGGACAGATTGGGTCTCAACAGTGTCAAGGAAGAATTGGTAACTATTAGAGGAAAGCAGAGAGGACCTCACTGAGGTCAGATAGTATGGATTTATTATAAGTCCATTGGACTGGTTGTCGAGACAGTCTGCCTTATAACTTTAAGTGTTAACATTCTTATAAAATTACAAACACATTAAAGGCCAGAATCATGGCTTACTTTTCATCATCCTTACATCTTTACTACTAGCACAAAGCCTAATGGGAACAGAGTAATCTCCTCTATGTTTTTATTCTCTCCATATAAAGAAAGATGTTTAGATACATCAAGTTATATAAGCTAGTTAGTTCTGCCTACTGTCAGCAGGTGGAACTTCTGTTATCTGTCTTCCTGTTTTATTTTTACATTTCTTTCTTTGTAAGATACAATTAGGGTGACCAGATGTGTGCATTTTCTCTGGCTAATCCCAGTTTAGACTTGTTCTTCTCATACAATAACTAATAGTACCTTTCTTCACTCTTAAAAGTTTGTATGGTAAATTCTGTGGTCTCTCTACATACATGTACAGAAAAGTGCTAAGTTTGTATTAGTCGGTTTGACTGTAACTTTAAAGAATACATCTGTGTAACTACTACTCCAGTCAAGAAATGCAACACTGCCAGCCAGTAGAAGTCTATTTCCTGTTCATAACTCTGTCTCTGGTCCTTAGAGTTAACCACTATGCTGATAACCATTTCCTACTTTTTAAACTAATGGAAGCTAAATTATTAAAGCCAAAAATACCCTACATGGATTTCTTTCCAATTATCCTTCTTTTATTTATTTTATATACTTTAACTGTGGGTAATTTCATATGTATGTTATTAATAGGTTTCTTTAAAATATTTGTATTTTAGTATATGACTACAAGGTTGTAAGCAGTCATCCTGAAGATAAATGTTGTATTTTCATCATTTATTTATTACACTAATTTAATGATTTAATGAACAAGGCAGAACTCTTGGCCTCAAGACTTTGATAATCTAACAAGCAATTACAATATAAATTATTCATTATAATGGGAGCATGCACAAGATGTTGTAGGACATTACCCAGCCTTGGGGATGATAGGGACGACTTTTGACAGAAGTTGATGTCTTGTTTGAGTTTGAAGAAGAAGTAGGAATTATGCAGGGTGAAGTGAGGGCAGAGCACAGGACTCACTTTCTAAACAAAGGAAATAGCACAGAGAAAAGAAAGTTTGGCACAATTAGGTTACTGGAAGTTGTTCCCTGCAGTTAGAACACAGAGAGTGTTCTCTGTGATCTCCTGCTAGGGGAAAAGGGTGTCTTTTGGATCACCTTATATTGCAGAGCAGTAAGAGATGCAGTTAAAGGTAGAAGCCAGATTATGAAAGGTCTTAAATGTCTTATTAAGTTTGAACTCAATCTTGAGGGCAATGATTCCGCTTTGAAGCATCTAATAAGAAGTGAGTAACTTGGCAGCATGTTCATATTTGCATTCTTAGAAGTTCTTTCCTGCTACAGAATTAGAACATTTACATGGGCAATCCTAAAGGCAGTAAAAATGGGCTGGGAACCATTGTAGTCATTCACTTGTGAAATGATAATGGTTTGAGCTAAGCCAGAGGGAATGAGAACAGAGAGAAGTGGTCGGATTTAGGATACAGCTGGGGACAAAATCAGTGAGATTTTAATGATTGATTATATGTAGAATTTGAGCAAGAGAACAATAAAAGACGCCCAGATATTGCCTGGAAGTGGGGAGCAAAGGTGGTGACTTAGGTTTGTAGAGGAAATTTCTAGTGCAGTGTTGAACTGGTTGAGGTTAAAATATCTGTGGGACATCAAGAAGTAAATGACTATCAAGCACTTAGATATATGGGTTTGGAGCATTGAAGAAAAATTTGCGATAGAACTAGACATGAGGGAACAATAGCTTCTAGGCGGCAAGGGAAGTCATGTTTTGGGCCTTAATAGGATATTATACAATTTCGAAGATGGAAAATGTGAATAAATTGTCTTCATTGTCTAATACCATGACATTTTTAGGGAGTTAGTCTTTGGTGTTAAAGATTCAAAGATATACTCGTACAAAATGTTTTCATGATCTTTAGTTTTTATCTATTTGTTCTTTGAGGCTTCCCCCCCCCTACATTATCCAGGTTTTAGCTTTAACCACAACATGTGTCAACTATTGAAATAAATATAACAAAATGAAATTATTATAGAATCATTAGAATTAAAGCAAGAGGCATACATTTACTAGGGTTTAGCAGGCTAGGGGAAATATGGAAGCCCCGGGTTTATATGTTTAGATTTCTCCCAGTTCTACAAATAAAATGTGTATGGAAAATACTTTTACAAAAATGTCTATTTTTAAATAATTTAAATAGAGAATATTTGTTAGTCATTTTCTGCTTATATTCAGCTTATAGAGATACTTAAAATATTTGTTAATCATTTTCTGCTTACTTTTAGCTTATAGAGATACTTAAAATTTTATAAATCAAATAATTTAAATGTATATTTCTTATAATAGAAATATTTTCAGATTTAAATGTAGAAATGTAGCTGAATTTTTTAGTGTTATACCTTCTATCATAAGACCACTGTAACTTACTGCTTTGCAATTCCTAAGTATATACATATATATTTTAATATCTTAGATGTACCAGAATGCAATTTCCCCTCAAAATATGGTTATTTCGAATATTTTGTTTCTGAAGATCATGGTAGCAATTAAGCTTAGCAGTAATTTACTAATCCTTGAATACTTTAATTTATTCTCTAATTTGAATTTTCAGTAGTAGTTCTTTTGTATTGATATTATTTTCAATGGTCTATAACCATCTTATTTCTTAAGCTATATATAATTTAATTTTTGATTACTATGATAATAATTAGATACAGTGCATAATACATGATAGTTGTTTTCTTTCTAGGAAAATGGTTCTCCTGAAGAACATGCAATATATGTGTGGGACCATTTCATAGCTCAGTCTGCAGCTGAGAATGTGTTTTTTGTTGCTCACAGCTATGGAGGACTTGCTTTCGTTGAACTGGTGAGTGCACATGTAACTCTGTTTTAATTCCCAAACTCTTTACAGGCTTGTCCTCCCCACTCACTTTTAATTGATATCATTACTTAAATTACTTTAAGAAGGGTAAAAACAAAATATTGTGAGTAAACAGTTTTATAATATTTGGAAGAGTGTATTTATTTATTTTATTGTGACAGAGCTTTTCAGTGCTAACCAGAAAGCTTTTTGCCTATTCCTTATTTGCATATTACTTCTTAATTTCTATAGTGTAGAGCATTTTCATAGACTTGATGATACTTATGTTTCCTGTGTTATATGTACAACTATTGAAGCATGTGTTATTTGTAAACTGTTTAAAATGTCAAGAGACCTTTTGAATATTGGAGACTCTTTTGTTTAACTTTTATCTCCACAAGTCAGTACTTGATACTTGATCAGAGTTCATATAATTTGTATTTAAACCATTAGAAGGTTTCCATTAATCTGCTAAGTGGAGTTCATTGTTTGGCCGTAAAAATCTTTGCATTTCAAAGTAACCTGATTCTTGGAGTTAAGGTTGTGTACATTATAGAAAAAATTATCAAGATTTAAAAATTTTGTCTGTATCATATGCAATGTTACAAGAGCCACACCTTGTGCCAGTATGAGTGGCTAATGAGATATAATCAATACAAAAAATGCACTGATGAAGAATTTATGCCTCCATGTCCATAAACCTTCTGTTACAGGGAAGTAACAGTGCTATAATAAAGTGATAAATTTGATAAAAGTGCATTTGGCAATTTTAAATCCAAATAGCCTAACATGGACATTAAAAACAGGACCAGCATTGTTGTCTAACTTCTGTTTGAAATCTTTGGTGTGCATTTCTCTTTGTTGTGGAAATTAAATATATTTTCATGGCCTTTTCAACCTCTCCATACCTTCTTGCTCACCCACATGATTTAGATATAAAACTGGTCATGACACCTGGGAATATCTTAGCTGACCTAACTTCACAAATGCTTATGTACTCTTAAGATCGATAAATAAGTAAATCTTTTATTAAATGGATTTCACTTTTTAGAAATTATTCTCAAGTACTTTTAATTCTGCTGCATTTATTTATTTTAATATATAATAGATATTTTAAGATAGCTCTTTAACATACTAGTTGTGAATGTTGTCTTTCAGTTCTTTTAGCCCCTACAGATATAGATCCGTACACACACACACACATAACATATATATGTCCCTTACATTTTCTTTGTAAGCCATAAGTTACTTAAAACTTGAAATTTCATTGGCTTTGTAGAGTAATTTAAAATGTGTCTGAAAGCCTGCAGGACTACCCAAATTCCAGATTACTATAAAACATAGATCCCCCCCCTTTTTTTTTTACTCTAAGACAGTTCATAAATGCCTTTTGTGCCTCAAATTTGGAATTTACGTGAATATTGGATAGTTTTTTAAATGAACTTAAGATGACAGAGTAACAGATGACCAGCGTGTCAGTCCTCTTTTGCCTGTCCTTCTTGTCACACACTGGTGGATATTTCTCTACTTTTGTTCCACTGTAATACAAAGCACACAGATGTTTCAGAACAAGACTTGACTTCTGACCTTGAGGCTATTAGGGTCAGGGTCCTCAGGGCCTGTGAAATTATCACAAGCTGAGCTAAAGTTTTTCTCCATCACAGGAAGTAACCAGTAAGTAAGAAGTTAAAAAGGAGCTTTGTCAGAGAGACAAGATGGTCTCAGTAAGGGTCAGCTTCTGTAGTCTGCTGTCTCTGCAGGAGGTGCATGCATGGGAGGAGGAATAGAATATAACCACTGGCACATCACATATCTGTCAGGCAACACCAGGACTGAGAAGTCTATTTAATGTAATGCACCTTGTTTAGGTTTGAAAATATTAATGGCGATTATCTCAACTTCATAATACTGACTACTTTTTGTGAAGTAACTTTAATGGGGGTATGTTATTAGGGGCGTACGCATGGTAGCAAATGAAGAAAAAGTGGTTCCTGACCTAATAATACAGATTCCGCTAAGCAAATAACAATAACTAAAACCACTAAGGAGTTGTACATAAATTTTTGACAAAACTTGATTAATAATATGTTTACGGCCATTATGTTTCTACTTAATTTTTAAAGGATTTTTAAAAGATAGCACAGTTAAAGAAACAACAAAACCATTGAAATGGTTTTAAACCTTTGCTTTCTCCTGAAAGTTGAATACTGTTCTTTCCTATTCTCCCTGATATTCTTTGGGGAAAAGTCACAGTGTTTAAAATGTTGGCAAATATTTATTCTCTCGGGATTTTTTAACATGAGTGTAATGCTTGAAATTGTTTTACATGGATTTAAAATTTTAATGTTAACTTTTAAAAGAAAGTGAATTGTGGACATCTTAAATTATGTTTTAGAATTTTGTCACAATAGTACATTGTACACATCAGGCGTTAAATCCTTTCAGTCAAGTTTGACTGTTTTTGAATTATCATAAAATTTTACTCCTGCTTAAAAGCTCTTACGTGCTCCCTCCCTCTCTCTTGCAATCTTGCTATCTCTCTTTGTCTCTATCTCTTTCCACCCCCCTTCTTTTTGGAGCAGTCTTAGTTTGTAGTATCATGTTTGAATGCATGCAGTTTGTTTTTCTACCACTCTCATATTCTCATACTATAAAATGTATCTTGCCACTTAATTAAATTAAAATTCTGTATAATTGTTTAATATTAAATGTGCTGCTAATAGATATCTGAAAATAAATTACTTTTGCATATAGAGCACAAAATATTTGTGGGACTTTCATATTTTTCTAATTGTTGTTTTTGAAAACTGAGAACATTTATGATTATATCCTATTTTAAATTGTTGAGTTTCTCCTGAAAAATGTATTATAATAGGTTTATTTTCAAAACCAATGCTCATTTTATGGTAGTAAATCTTGGACCTAAGCTCATAAAAACAGTATACAGTTTACTAAAATAATGAGAAAAGTGATATTAAAAATATCCATTTCACTGCATTTATAATCACCATATGGTAACAACCCAAATTTTTAATGCTCTAAACTTTCTGTGATCCTTGTAAAAATAGCTGTTAAGAGAGCTCTGGTAGCAGTTCCAGCATTCACTCATTAAAGACAAAAGGGAAGACGGAAAGAACTATTTATGAATTGGTAATGAATTTTAAAAAGTAATGTATATGTCCAATGTTGTCTTTTCTGCATACTGAAATAGATTCAATATAAAAACTTACAGTTATTAAACCTTCATTTACAAAGTCTTAAATTTCTGTTTTTAGAAATTCTCTTAATATATGAAAGAATAAGTAGTCATAACTAAAACACATTTACCAAATTCATTCAGAAAGATGTCTACAAATAATGAAGCTTACGTTTGCATTATATTAGTTGTTGAAAATTAAGCTCATTTTTAAAAATTAACTGTCATTAAAAACAATACATTTTTAAGGTTTTCATCATGTCTTTCACTAGCCACTTTAATGAAGTGATTCCATTGCTTACGTTGGTCATTTCAAAGTGCCTTGCTCTTGTCTTTCTAGCTGATAGTTTGACAAAATCAAGCAACCTTAAAATTTTCTTATATTCGGAAAGAAGTTAGCTTTCACTTGTCAATGCCCAGTTTCCAATCTCAGCTCACCTTACCGTCCATGTTTGCAGTGTTCAGTAAATCAATTTGCATTCAGATTTCTTTCTTTAGCCAAAGTGAGAGTGTTGATGCTTTTTTTATAAAACACATTAAACAATTTCAGTAAATATTTCATTAGTTTATTGAATCATCTTAGCTGATATAAAATTATTATTTTTCTTCTGGTTTTTATTTCCTTTTCCATATTATTAGTGATATGTTCACAACCACCACTAAAAACATCACGTAAAATGTGTGAAAACTGCTCCTTTTGAAAGTGTATCTCTACCCACTTTTGATTTTGGTTTTTCCATGCTTGTCAGCACTTGATTGGCACCTCACTTGCATGTGAATTAAGGAATGAAGGGAACGCTATTTCCCTGCCATTGTTCCATGCTGGGCTCCCTAGCCTTCAGGCAACCAAAGCTGACCTTCAGCAGCTGATAGAGGACTAGTTTTTGGACATAACTGTGTGAGGACACTTAAGCTCAGTCTACTCTGGGTCAGTCTTTTTTTTTTTTTTTTTCTTAAAAAAAAAAAAAAACGCCTGAAGCATGATTTGGATTTAAAACTGAAGAGAAAATAGAATGCGACTAAAAGTATTTGGGTTTACCTTCAGGGACATCAGCTAACTATGACTTTAAAGAAGCATCAGTTACATTTTGTCTACAAAGAATGAAGTAAATTAGATATTGGTACTAATGTGATCAGTGAGAAAAGCTACTGGGAATCAAGAATTGAGGAGAGGTAGAATAAGCAAGGGATAAAGCAAAGAAAAATGGAGCCATCATAGTATCAGAATAATACAGGCCAAAAAGACTTCTTATAGACCTACTTTAAAATGTTGGTAGTAGAGCAAAAATAAGTTGCCATTTAAAATGTAACTTGCATTTCTGATTTGGTTGCCTACATGATACAAACAGCATGTTAATGTATGGGATGGTTACAACTTGTTGTGTGGGATGCTCTCTTAATTTTTGAGTTATTTTATAGGAAGATGGTTTAGTTTATGTAACTATTTTGTATGCTTCTAAAGAGAAGAATCGGAGATTATTTTTATCACCTGTATTCACTTTTATTTCATGCCTTGCAAGTAGTATAGATAAGTATCTTTTGATTGATTGTTGGTAATACTAGTTTTAGGAGTTAGTTGCAAGAATCCGAGTGAGATCCAGTGAAGGGCTTTACCCACCCACGTAGAAGTAGTGAGAGTAAGCACGCATTCCAGATGTTAAGGAGGAGATTCTACATGGCTTAGTGACATTGAATCCAGAAAGCTGAATGAGAAGAAAAAGGGTATGGTATATTCTTCCCCATACACAGAATATCAAAGAAGATATAAAAGGAATCCAAGCACAGCAGATAAATAATAATAAACAATGAT